CGGATGTCAGGGCTGGAGGCAGATGACCAGTCCAGGGCCCAAGTAAAGAGAGATTAAGAAGCCAAACTAGGTCCATAGTCAAGGACGAGCCCTTCAGCCCCCCAAGGCCATCTCTCTCCAGCCTAGAGATGCTGGAGAGAGGCGGGCTGTAGGTGGGCGAGCTGACCCTTTGCCCTCTGTGGGGACGCTGTGGGTGATGGGTGAGGGGAAGGTCACAAGTTTTGCATGGAGTCCTGGAAGGGAGGGGTGTCTTCTCCCGGCTGCTGGGAGGAGGTGGTAAGAGCTACTTCCTGGAGTCTCATGGCCCAGCATGGAATGTTCTGGAATGTTCTCAGGGAAGTGGGTGTGGTCAACTAAAGGAAGGTCCTCTCTGGGCCAGAGTTCTTGCAGGAGGAAGAAGGCTGCTGTTTCCTGCCCTGTGGTCTGGCCCAGATGGCCTTGGCTGACAGCCCCAGGCCAAGCTTTCATTCATCATCAGAGTCTGCAGGTGGGGGTTGGGGGGAAGAGGGGGCACAGTTTTTTAAAACACTCATTTCATCCTTTTAGTGTGGAGAAGTTCACCAGCATTCAGGGACCAGCTTGGTTTAAAAAATAGGTTTTGTTTTGTTTTTTAAGGGCCTGCTATGTACCACATACTGTGTTTGAACCTTTTTTTTTTTGAGACGGAATCTCACTCTGTCGCCCAGGCTGGAGTGTAGTGGTGCAATCTTGGCTCACTGCAACCTCCACTCCTGGGTTCAAGCAATTCTCCTGCCTCAGCCTCCCAAGTAGCTGGGACTACAGGCGTGTGCCACCATGCCCAGCTAATTTTTGTATTTGTAGTAGAGACGGGCTTTTACCATGTTGGCCAGGATGGTCTCGATCTCTTGACCTGGTGATCTGCCCGCCTCAGCCTCCCGAAGCACTGGGATTACAAGTGTGAGCCACCTCGCCCAGCCTGAACTTTTACTCTGTTATCACAATTCACTATGGACAAAACCTGTTGAGGAATGCATTATTCATTATTTCTGTTGTGCAAAGGAAGAAAGGAGTATGGGGAAATTTAACAAGCCCCAAATTATACCACTGGGTAGCTTTGGAGTCCGGTTGCAAACTTACAGCTCTGAAAGCAAGACTGTGTCTGTAGCGGTGAGACTGTGGACAGAACGTTTACCTTGGAGGAAGTAACCCCTTTGTGCTCCTGTTTGTGGGTGCATCTGAAGATGGAGGTGCTGCTGGAACTCGATGGCATTGCAGCGGGGATTGGGACTTATGATACAGATAAGGTGTCACAGAAATGTCAGCTACTGCTGCTGTTACTACATAAGATTAGAGTTGCACAATCCTGGACTTGATTTTACTGGAAGACATTCTTGGAAGGATATCTCTTAGGGTGGAGGAGAAGCATATTATTTTAATTCAACTGAATTAATGAATTCGTTAATTTTTAACATTTAGTTTTATTTAAAAGATTTTGTTATATAGATAGGGTCTTGCTACGTTGCCCAGGTTGGTCTCAAATTCCTGGCCTCAAGCAATCCTCCCACCTCGGCTTCCCAAAGAGTTGGGATTAGAGGCGTGGTCCACTGTGCCCGGTCACTTAAATAATTTTAAGATAATCATTCTACGGGGGAATAGAATGTGAATTTAACCTTAGAGCCATTTTGAGTTTGGGCTGGTGATTTCTGCGCATACTCCTGGCCCCTGGATGTTGGGAGGTGTGGGTGAAATGCGGAAGGGCAGGGTCTGTTCGCCTTCCTTTCTCAGCCTTACTTCAGTGAAAGCTGGAGGTGCACTTTGCGATATCTTTTTAAATTTTTATTTATTATACTTTAAGTTCTGGGGTACATGTGCAGAACGTGCAGGTTTGTTGCATAATTATACATGTGCCATGGTGGTTTGCTGCATCCATCACCCCATCATCCACATTAGGTATTTCTCCTAATGTTATCCATCCCCTAACCCCCCACCCCCTGCTGTCCCTCCCCTAGCTCCCCACTCCCCGACAGGCCTCGGTGTGTGCTGTTCCCCTCCCTGTGTCCATGTGTTCTCATTGTTCAACACCCACTTATGAGTGAGACCATGTGGTGTTTGGTTTTCTGTTCTTGTGTCAGTTTGCTGAGAATGGTGGTTTCCAGCTTTATCCATGTCCCAGCAGAGGACATGCACTCTTTTTTTCAGGCCGCATAGTATTCCCTGGTGTATATATGCCACATTTTCTCTATGCACTCTATCGTTGATGGGCATTTGGGTTGGTTCCAAGTCTTTGCTATTGTGGACAGTGCCACAATGAACATACGTGTGTATGTGTCTTTATAATAGAATGATTTATAATCCTTTGGGTATATACCCAGTAATGGGATTGCTGGGTCAAATGGTATTTCTATTTCTAGATCTTTCAGGAATCGCCACACTGTCTTCCACAATGGTTGAACTAATTTACACTCCCACTAACCGTGTAAAAGTGTTTCTATTTCTTCACGTCCTCTCCAGCATCTGTTGTCTCCAGATTTTTTAAAGATTGCCATTCTAACTGGTGTGAGATGATATCTCAGTGTGGTTTTGATTTGCATTTCTCTAATGACCAGTGATGATGAGCTTTTTTTCATATGTTTGTTGGCTGCATAAATGTTATCTTTAGAGAAGTGTCTGTTCATATCCTTTGCCCACTTTTTGATGGTGTTGTTTTTTTCTTGTAAATTTGTTTAAGTTCTTTGTAGATTCTGGATATTAGCCCTTTGTCAGATGGGTAAATTACAAAAATTTTTTCTCATTCCATTGGTTTCCGGTTCATTCTAATGATAGTTTCTTTTGCTGTGCAGAAGCTCTTTAGTTTAATTAGATCCCATTTGTCTATTTTGGCTTTTGTTGCCATTGCTTTTAGTGTTTTAGTCATGAAGTCCTTGCCTATGCCTATGTCCTAAATGCTACTGCCAAGGTTTTCTTCCATGGCTTTAATGGTGTTAGGTCTTATGTTTAGGTCTTTAATATATCTGGAGTTAATTTTTGTATAAGGTGTAAGGACGGGTTGCAGTTTCAGCTTTCTACATATAGCTAGTTTTCCCAACACCATTTATTAAATAGGGAATCCTTTCCCCATTGCTTGTTTTTCTCGTTTGTCAGAGATCAGATGGTTGTAGATGGGGTGATGTTATTTCTGAGGCCTCTGTTCTGTTCCATTGCTCTATATCTTGTGTTTTGGTACCAGTACTGTGCTGTTTTGATTACTGTAGCTTTGTAGTATAGTTTGAAGTCAGGTTGCCTGATGCCTCCAGCTTTTTTTTTTTTTTTTTTTTTTTTTTTTGCTTAGGATTGTCTTGGCTATGTGGGCTCTTTTTTGGTTCCATATGAAGTTTAAGGTATTTTTTTCTAATTCTGTGAAGAAACTCAGTGGTAGCTTGATAGGGATAACATTGAATCTATAAATTACTTTGGGAACTTTGCTATTTCTACAGCTTCAGAGTTCCCAGCTCTGCCCAAGTTAGTGCCAGCAGGCTGTGACCTTGGGGCAGTCACTAACCTGCCCAGGCCAGTGTCCCTCCTGCCCAGCTACCCTAGTTCTTGGAGTGAGCTTCCTCATTCATTCTTTCTGGTGCTTCTGGGAGGACAGTTCTCTCCCTGGAATGCCACTGTCTGCCTGCCAAGTCCCTCCTTTTCTACTGAAGCCCTGCACCATACTCTCCTCTTGGAAGCCATCTGGACTGATCTCCACTTGCCTTCTCTCCACTCCCAGTGCTCTTCGTATGGCCCCGGCGTTCTTTGGGGCCACCGTCTGATTCATTTGGATTCATCTCATGCACTGTGCAGTGTGCACTGGCTCTTCAGAGCCAGCACAACGGAGGTGGCCCTTCTCCCGCTGAACCTTCCAGAGACTAGTAAGCAAACAAAGAAATAGGCACAGATTCCAGCTGTGATACATGTGATGAAGAAAAAGAATTGGGCCCAGTCTTTGTGGACCGTTCAGTCTTCCACACTCCCAAGGGAGGGCCACATGGTGGGGAGGGAGGCCATGAGATGGGGATAGAGGTAGTGAGTGTGGATGTGGAGGTCTGGGTCTGGGGTTGTGAGTGTGGATGTGGAGGTCTGGGTCTGGGGTAGTGAGTGTGGATGTGGAGGTCTGGGTCTGGGGTAGTGAGTGTGGATGTGGAGGTCTGGGTCCAGGATAGTGAGTGTGTGGGGAGGCCTGGGTCTGTTGTAATGAGTGTCAATATGGGGAGGCCTGGGTCTGGGGTTGTGAGTTTGGATATGTGGGCACCTGGGTCTGGGCACAATCTATGATGCCAAGTGTTTCTGTTTGTTTGAAGACAGATTTTGGCAGGCAACGCAGAGCCTGTGGTTTGCCATGAACTCCCAGGTGGGGACCCTGGGCTTGAGTTGGAGGTGTCTGGGTGGAACAGGGCCTTTGGAGAGTCTGTCTGGTGTCAGGATTGGCCGGGTCTGAGCTGGGGAGCCTGGAGCCACGGGGACACCTTAGGGCTGTGGGGTGACTGGGAGGTCTGGGTGATCACCTGGTTCGGTATGGTGGGCAGCAGGGTTGTCTTTGGGAATACCCCAGGCCTCAGACAGCAGTTCCTTTGTGCCTCGGTGCTCTGCAGGCCTAGGGTGGGGCCAAAGGGTCACTGGAGGCTGGTGACCGAGGCCTCACAGGCCCTGCCCCTCTATCCTGGCTCCTGCCTGCTCTCAGAATCCTACCCGTCTCCTCTGCAACACCCTCCAGGCTGCCCCGGCCCAGTTCTTCCCAGAACTCCTGTGTGGCCAATCACTGCATGACTCAGTTTCTGGGAACTCCTTGGATGCCGCACTTCCAGCTGCTGGGTACGTGGCAGGTGCTTGGAGAATACCCCCGGCTTGTTGCTGTCATTAGGCACCATGCCTGCAGCTGGGGTGCCTGGGAGGCAGAGGGGAATGGAAAGCACCTGGGCTCAGCCCAGCTTGGCTGGGCCAAACAGGGCACCTGGTACCAGCTTTTGGGGCCTTGAGCAGGTGGCTGCACCTCTCGAGCTGGTTTCTTCTCTTTGCTTCTGGAAGGAGTGATGGTTACCTCATCCTCTTGGGCTTGTGATGATTCCAGTTGGCCAGCCAGTGGCGGGCACCTGGCAGGTGGGCAGCACCCATGAAGGCGGCTTCTTCCTCTCCTGGTTTGGGAGTGCAGGGTCAGGCTGAGCAAGTGCAGGGACATTTGTTAATTTGTGAGGTTCTCCTAGAAGCCCTGAAAACTCCCAGCTCATTGCCAGGGGTTCTGTCTGAGCCTTTCTCCTGCCTGTCTTCTCTGTACCAGGCTGTGTTCTGGAGTGGCCCCTCCTTGTTGGCTGAGCCCTCAGCTGGCACCTTTATGGGCACCCCCACTTGTTTGGGGTCTTAGCCTCTGCCAGGAGAAGGGGGAGTGTGCAGAGACCTGGACAGCTGGTTCCCGGGAAGGCCAGTGACTCACCCTGGAGTTGCAAGAGAAACATCTGTTTGTGTTTTTGTGAGCAAGAGGGGACAGCTGGCCCGCAGATAGCAGGTGAGGTCAGCCGGGGATTGCCTTGGCTACCAGCTGTAAGCAAACCCTGGCTCCGGTGAGGTGGGCAGAGAAAGGATGGAGGAGAGCCCAGCAGGGCCTGTGGAGAGCCACCTGGGGCTGGAGCCTGGGCTGGGCCGCACGGAGGCCACTGGGGGAGGCAGTGGTGCAGGAGGCCGCCCCCGGGACCTGGAGCACTACCCTCTGCACACCCGAGGCCTGGGACTTTTCTCAGCAGGTGAGGAGGGGTGGGCCTTCTTTCCCCAGAAGCTTCTCTGCCTCATGGAGAGGCTGCTTCTGGGCTCCTTCAACAAGCAGCTCCCAGTTGGGAGCTGAAATCAGGTTTCCTCTGCAAGGATTCCGCCTGCCTGGGACTTTCCAGACCCACATAAATCACGTAAATGGAAGCAGGCCTGCATCTCTGCATTATAAGACAAATAGTATTAACGCTGGACATGGCTCATCCCAAGCCGGGTGCCTGGCAGCCCTGGGAGGACTCGGGCGTTTTCTGAGCAGAGAGCCCAGGGGCCACAGGCGCCTATGTGTTATTCTGGTTACCTTTGCGCTGTTAGAATTCCATTTCCTCTTTTTTTTCTGTGTGTGCACGTGTGTGTGTGTGGTAACCCTGTAAGATTTTTTTTGAGACAGGGTCTTGCTCTGTTGCCCAGGCTGGAGTGTGGTGGCGCCATCATGGCTCCCTGCAGCCTCCGTCTCCTGGGCTCAAGTGATCCTTCTGCCTCAGCCTCCTGAGTAGCTGAAACTACAGTTGCGTGCCACCACACCCGGCTAAATTCTAAATTTTTTTGTAGAGATGGGGTCTTGCTATGTTGCCCAGGCTGGTCTTGAACTCCTGGGCTCAAACAATCCTCCCATCTCAGCTTCCTGAAGTGCTGGGATACAGGTGTGAGCCTCTGCGCCCAGCCAGGTTACTGTGCTGTTGCTGCTGTCAGCCCTATGATGGCCTTGATACAAGAGTTCTGCCTGCCCTGTGTCAGGCCTTTCAGAAAAAACACGAGCAAGCTGTGCCTCTGGGGACATGTAGGCAGAGCTGTGGCTGTTAAGTCCGAGGGCTGGCACTTGAGATGCTGGGGGAGAAGTAGGTGATTTCACATCTCATTTGGATTGGCGGCTTTGCAGAGCATTTCTGCCTGAGACTGAGAGAACAGTATCAGTTAGATGAAGAGACGGGCAGGGATTTGGGGGCCACTGGAGTGGGAGGTTTTGGTCATTAAAGATGTCCAAGGATTTACTTTCCTAGGCTAAAAAAGATCCACAGGAGTGAGTGACACTTCCTACGTGGACCCCAGAAGAGGCCATGTGAGGGTACAGAGAAAAACACCCCTGCCCGGGCAGTGAGACGGAGCTGCTGGGTGTGGGCCTGGTGCCTCGTTAGCACCCAGCGCGTGTGCTTTGGAGGGGTCCTGGGTGGCGTGGGCCCAGGGTTGCTGCTCCTCAAGGTCACAGACAAGTAAGGCTGCAGGAGCCTTAGCAGGGGCTGGGGGTCCTCAGAGTGCATGTGTGGCGGGGAGAAAGGAGCAGTTGCAGGAAGTGAGGACTTCACGCTGTCGGCCCTTGAATTCCAGACCAGCGAGGCGAGGCGTTATTCTGTGAGGCACTTTTTGAAACAAAATGTTACCGGCAGGCTGGGTGTGGTGGGGCACTCCTGTAGTCCCAGCTACTTGGGAGGCCGAGGCAAGAGGATCATTTGAGCCCAGGAGTTCAAGACCAGCCTGGACAACAGAGCGAGACCCTGCCTCTACGAAAAAATTAAAACATTCACCAGGTGTGATGGCACAAGCCTGTAGTCCTAGCGACCTGGGAGGCTGATGCAAGGATCACTTGAGACCAGGAAGGAGCTGGAGGCTGCAGCGAGCTGTGACAGCACCACTGCACTCCAGCCTGGGCAACAGAGCAAGACCCTGTCTCAAAAAACATCATTGGTGCATAATGGATGTGCATAGTTCCAGTGAGTGGCAGACTCCTCGATAGTTAACATTAGATCCTGAAGGTGCACTGGACACTCGCCACATCTGGGCATTGGGGTAACACGGGAAGACCCCCTGGGAGGCCGGCAGAGTGAAATGCTGATGGGAGGGAGGTGGGTTCCATCTGAATGGGAGCCAGATGGGAGGAGCCAGAGAATCCCCAGGGGAGGTGGTGCTGGGCTCTGGCCATCCGGGTGAGAGGGTGCAGGAGATGAGGCTGGGCCGCTGGGATGCGTCAAGGTCCTGGTGACCGGAACCGCAGTTGTGCAGAGGGTGAGGTGGCTGCAGAGCGGAAGGGTGGTCTGTGGCAGGTCATCCCCGGCCTGGAGGGCAGCTCAGGCTTTTCTCCTTAGTTGTGGGAGCCGCTGAAGGTTTTTGAGTAGCAGACTCACACAGCCCGGCCTAGGCTGTCAGGGTAACCTATGGCTGCACATGACGGCTCGAGGGGGAGCCCCAGCAGGTTCCGAGGCAGGTGAGCTGGGAGGAGGGGCCATCCCAAGCAGGCACACCTGGCAGGTGCCGGGGACATGGCGTTTGGGGGTTGTGTGTCAAGACACTGGCTTCCCTGGGCTCTGGCTTCAACTCTGGAATCCACTCTTGCCCTCTTGGTGCGTGATCAGCCTGTGAAGCTTCTAGCAAGTGGCTCCCTTGGGTTCAGACAGGCCTTTGAGGCTGCCTCTCTGAGTCTTGTATCCTCCCAGCAGCCTGACAGGTGGAGGAGACGTTGATGCCTGGCTCACCTTATCTCGCTGTTCTCCTTGTGTTTCCCGTATCGTAGTAACAGAGCAGATGTCAGCACCGTTGCTAAGGGTTCCCTGGGATGTTAATTCCCTGGTGTTGAGTGGAGGGCGCCCGCACGGTGTCCTCGAGGCCCGGGGAGCGCTGGCTTGGTGGCAGGTACTCTTTCACATTTGTTCCAGCTGCTTTTCCCTCCTTTAAACCCCATCTCCCCCCCGACCTCGGTCTCCCTGGCCTAGGCACAGTGCCACATCTGGGGATGGCAAACTCGGCAGCCGCAAATGTGCAGCCACTCTCCTTCCACGCCCGGGACAGACCCGACAGACGGATCACAGCGTCCCTTTCTATGGAGGCTGGGGCGGGCCCCAACCCCTTTTCCACCCAGCCCTCTGGACACCATCTCAGATTTGGCACTTGGGATGAAGCCTCTCTTCCAGCCCTGCAGAGGCCACCTGCGACACCTCCTGGCCCTCCCAGCCCCCTCTGCAGGCACTTCCTCTGGTACCTGGGAGTGATGGGGAAGGGAGGGGTGGGTTTTGCTTGCCTCTCCTGTCTCCTGTTTGCCTCCTTTGCCTGGTCTTTTGGCCTTTCCACCACAAGTGGAAAATCAAACTCTGAATAGTTCTGGAAAGGGGTTTGTCTGGACACTGAAGTCAGGCTTGGGATTTTATCTGCCAGTTGCCATTTGTGTGGGTTAAATATTGCTATGATAACACACATGACAGGCACACCTACCCAAACATAGGGGCTTACGACCGCCGTTTATTACCCCTCTCAAGTTCACGGCCAGCCGGGACATTCTGCCACTCTTGGCTGGGCCGTGCGTTTCATTCTCAGCATGGTGGTTTGGTGGTCAGAGGACACCCACTGCCCCTCACATGGAAGACACGCCTGGGCCGTCTCTCTGCGGCTGACAGAACCTGGCATCCTGCAGCTGCTGGTGGTGTATTGGCTTTGTGTGTGGGCATCCCTCCCCAGCACAGCGTCCTCCTCCAGCCCTGTGTCCCCCATCTCTTTCCCACCGTTCTCCCTGATCGTTTGTTCTCCCCGTAGAGATGGTCTGTTCTGGACGCCTGCACCCTCGTACCTGGGCTTTCTTTGTCACAGGCGCTTGGGGGTCACAGTGTGGCCATGCTCTTGCGAATGCATTTCTCTGGGGGTCTCTCATGGGGTCACACTCGTGACTTCAAGGCAGACCCCAGCCAAGCAAATCCTCTGGTCTCAGGAGCTGGGGTCTGCTGGCTGCTCTCACCATGGGTCGAACCCCGGGCTGGATGAAAGCACGCTCATTCATGCCACACCCTAGGGAGTCCGAAGACCCAGTTCTATCATGAACGTGTCCTTGAAATAAGATCAAGGAGGTGAAAGTGCCAGGGCGTGAGGTTGGGAGCCATCACGGCCCTGGGGAGGAGGTGTGGGGAGAAGGAGCTGCCCCTGCTGGGGTGGTGGCTTTGTCCCCGTCCCACTGAGGTGGTGGGTTGGAGACTCCGTGGGCGGTTGCCCGGCTTCTCTAAGGGCAGGTGGTTTTGCTCTCAGACGTGATTTTCAAAGTGTGATACATGTTAGAGACAGACAGGGCAGGCGGCTGGCGTTTCTTACACTGTGCTGTGGCTGTTGTGGGTTTTGGAAGGTCATGGTCAAGCAGCAGTTTTCCTGGAGTGATGACTCTCTGTGCTGCTTTCTAGCACTTATGGGAGTGAGCTCCAAGTTTCCGGGACAGAGAAGAGCATTCTGCTGGAGGGGCACCAGATGACTGGCCCCAGCCACGGGGTAACTCAGGGCCCTACAGCCAGTGCTGGCTTTCCCTGCTTCTGAGCCCACGCAGGCTGTGAAGGAGATAGACGCCTTCAAGGAGATGCAACTATCTGTTTGCAAAGAAAAGGCCCATGTTTTTTTTTTTTTTTTTGAGGATCGTCTACATTATTGAAACCATCTAATTGGAGATCTACAGATAGGTTTTTCCATCTTTGAGTTCTGAGTTTGAAAATACCAAATCCACATTAGGCTGCCAAGACACAGCTGCCTCTGGCAGAATCTTCGTGGTGGACAATTTTAGGTGGAGGGAGCAGGCTGACAGCTCTGAGCGGCTGTGAGCATATGACTGTGAAAACGTACCCCAAAAATACACTTAAAAATGCACTGCATTTCTCTCTTGGGGGTTCATCCTGAGGAAGCCATCAGAGATTTATTTCCCAGGATATCCATCTTAGTGTTGCATATAATAGTGCAAAACGAGACAGTCTGTGTGCTCCCAAACAGGAAAACGGTGAAATATAGTACATTCAGAATACGTATTTTTAAAGTTCAAAATCGTATTTTTAAAGAACTTGAATAATGTGGGAAAGTACACTGTGGTTAAGAAGCCAGCAAGCAGTGTATGTGGTACGAACCCACTTGTATTTAAAATGTGTACACAAATACCTGGGAAAAACTGGAAGGTGCTGCGTTAAGACGTTCAGAGTCGCCATGGGGGGTGGCTGGCAGCCAACGTCAGGTGTGTTTTCATTTTCTCTCT